TTTCAAATTCTTCAGTCAAGTAGAGCAGGTTTACAATGAATCAAAGCTGACTGTGTTAACAGTATAATGGGTATATGTTACTGTAAATTCTCCCCAGCCTGCAGAAAGTGGGCACAATTTTGCTTGTGTCCATCTCTTTCTATTGTTGCCAGATGTTGAAACAGTCCATGATATATATATATATCACTATTTTTTTTTTAATTTAATGTCCAAAAGGGATCAGGGATAAAGCTTTTCCATCCTCTGTGTTTTAAATAAAACTTTTTTTTCCTATAAAAACCACCTTGTGAATCAAGATGCTACTGAAATTATGGAAGTGGATAAAGACCCTTGCCAAACTATCACTGAGTCTGGGCAAATAAAGTTTTCCTGGAAGATGAAGTTCATTAGTGAAGATGAACTGGAAGACTTTATGAAGCCACACAGTTCTGCTGGTTTTGGGGTTTAGGTGTTAGCTGAGGGTTAAGTTTTGCTATTCTCCTGAAGACAGAGGTTGCATACTTGGTTTCAACATTAGCAGTGAGCTCCTTAATCCCTCAGTCTGGAAGCACACACAGTGCCTCAGCCATTCCTCCAACTGCTCCAAAAATATGTCTGACCTTGACCAGTGGTCCGTTTTCTCCCAGGTAGTGCCTGTAGCAGAAGCCCGATGAGAAGGCAACAAGAAGACAGCAGTATGCTCCCTGTGTCTTGCAACTTTTGAACAAATAACCACATGAGTCAGAAGAGTTGACATTGTATCTAAAAAGCCTTTGATGGATATTTTTTCATGGTTTTGTCAAGTTTTCTTTTGAGTGCATGTGCATTTTCAATATCCTGTAGCAAGTAGTCTAAAAACTGAAGAACAGCTTCCCCGCATAGTAGCCTTCTGCACAAAATCAAGGATGAAATGAATATTTGTTAGCTATTGTGGTCTAGAATATTTACATAATCATCCTATTTCTCATTTTTGCCATTGCTTAAAAAACCAAATGAAAGCCAGAAGCCAAAACAAGCTTTAAAATGTAATTATTTTTCATCCATATGAATGCGAAGTGACAGCTTGCTGAATCCAAACTTATTTTGTGAGTTAATGAATACATAATAATAGTGCTGTATGTTCTGGAATACTAATTCTTTTCATTCTTCCCCCCTACTTTCCTCTGTTCTTTCCTTCTTTATGAATGTCTTGCTTTGCCTATATATTGCACTTAGTATTTTTTAATCCTTGCATGTTTTGATTTCACTGGAGCTAGATACATATGATAGTGGTTTCTTTAGAAACTTTTACGAAATTAGAGAATATTAAGAGGAAAGCTGAGTAAAGCTATGGTAGTTTTTACTTGAAGATGTCAATTACTTTGCTGGTTCTGTGTCTCTCTAAGTGTCTTTCTGGACTAAATACCAATATCATATTCTCTAACTATTTATCCAATTGGTAGGGGTTTGATCACCTGCTAAGTTTCAGGAGAACCAGAGCATGGTGACAGGCTTTATATGCAATTGGCATTCAAAGCTGTGACCTGGAATTTTTTCTGAGATTAGCAAAAATAGGCTGATGTATATACTCTGACAAGATGCAGTATTGTAACTCTAAGAACAGCCCTGTGCTGCATCAGTCACCAAAATATTTTTATCTTCCAATGTCACCTTTATCTTTAAAGTTATTTTGTAGGAGCCATCTGGTTCCTTTCAATACAAGTAGACCAAGTTGTATCAGTCAGCTGGCACTGCCTAATGAAATGCCAACAGATAACTTGCACATCTGCAATGCAGAAATACAGGGCAGAATGGTAAGAACACCACACGGACCATAGACTTAGTCCTAAGGAATATTGGTGCTGTTTTCCATACAAACAACATTTCCTTGGCTATGCGTGTGTATCCACATACACACCCGCACATTCCCGTGCTCTTCATGTGATTGACACATTTAAGTTTTGCATCCTCCAGCTTCTCTACTTGATAATGATAAGAATAAAATTGTGAGCCCAGGCTTCAGACAAAACACTGTGGCCCAAGTTTCTCTGTCTTTGCTCTTGAGCATGGGTGTTTCTGATCAAAACTGCTATTGCTGGCTAAATAATGCTGGTCTGAAACATTATGAGATATGAACTATGACATCTTTAACTGTACTGGGAAGACTCCCAAATGCAAAGGCTGTAAATGCCAAGCTCTTCTTTGATCAAAATATCTCCTTTCACTAGGGCAGAGAAAGGCAGAATAACTTGGTCAAGAAAAGTGGGCATGTATTCTGAATCTGATCATCATCTAGTGTCTAATAAGAGGTGGTCATTCTGTCTTGGACACCTGTTCTAGACTGAGATTGCTGGAGATCTTCTCTCAAGATCCCAGAGCCATGGCTGGATCTGTTTGATTAGATATCCAAACCTGAGGAAGGAAAAATTAGAATCTTATATCTTGTGACGTGTCTTATCCCTAATAAAGGACATGTCTTCAAGTTAGAGCAGGAGGTGTATTTCTTCAATTCTTTCAGTGCAGTTAAAGCAACAGACTTGCTCCAAATTAAACCAATTGGAAAACTTGAGGAACATTTCTGACTGGAAGTAGGTTGTTTGTAGAGCAGGTAGCAGCTTTGGACAACCAGACAAGCCTTTGTGCTGAGTCCCAAGGTTGAAGGCTAATTTGATGACTCCCATCATCCTCTTGAAACTATTCTCCTTTAAAAACAAAGAGAATGGGCTATTTTTCCTTCAGGAGCTTCGGTAAGGTAAGTCTGATATCTACATAGTCACTGATGTTCAAGGAGAAACACGAGCACCAAATAATGCTCCTAGCCCTGAGTTCCTGTGTGCTATGTGTCCTTTACTGAAGTGGGGACGTGGAGTTGAAAGCATAAAACCAGACAGCCATGACATATAACTATATTTGATGACCTCAGCAAAGGGGTTGTGACTCTGTGCATGCATAAGTAGAGATGAAGAGCAATCTATGCGCAATGCACTGCCCAGTGTCTCATCAGGTCCCACTTCAGTACCAGAAGGTGAAATCTTATATATGAGAGTGTCATTCACTTGGAGAAAGAGCTTCATTGACAGGAGAAAGCAAGCCAAGCTGAGTAGGGGTTGGAAGGGACCCTTAAAGACCATCTACTTCCAACCCCCCCACCATGGACAAGGACACATTCCACTAGACCAGGTTGCTCAAAGCCCCATCTCACCTGGACTTGAACACCCCTAGGGATGAGGCATCCACAACCTCTCTGGGCAGCCTGTTCCACTGCCCCACCATACTCACAGTGATTTCGTCCTAATTGCTAATCTAAATCTGCCTCCATTCCCCCTTGTCCTACCACAGCATGCTCTTGTGAAAAGTCCCTCCTCAGCTCTCTGGTCAGCCCCCTTTAGGTATTGGAAAGTGCTATAAGGTCTCTCTGAAATCATCTCTTCTCCAGGCTGAACAACCCAAACCCTCTCAGCTTGTCTTCTTGGGAGAGGTTCTTCAGCTCCCTGATAATTCTGGTGGCACTCTTCTGGGCCTGCTCCAACAGGTCTGTGTCTTTCCTGTGCCAAGGACTTCAGAAGTGGACACGGGACTTCAGATAGGGTCTCATAGGAATGGAGTAGAGGGGGAAAATCCCATCCCTGCTGTAGTTTGCCTTCTTAATTCCCATAGGCCGGGTGCTAGAGCTTGACCAAGTCCTTCTGGATGGCATCCTGTCCCTCAGACGTGTCAACCATACCACTTCTCTTAGTCTTGTCAGCAAACTTGCTGAGTATTTTGTATAGACTGAGGTGTTTAATGCCAGCAATATATAAATTTTGCTCTCAGATCATTACCTTTCTTTATGCATGTATTGCAGATTAATCCACTATTGGAGAAGAAGTGTTGGATAGGTTTAGAATATTATTTTATTTTAAGGAAAAGTTATACCATTTGGGAATACACTGGTCAAATATTTCTTAGAAGGTTCCAGATCATGGGTTTTGTTTTATCAAATTTACACTTTAGAATTCATTTTCAATACAACTGATATTATCATAATGTTTTATGTGATGTGTCTCTGGAGGCTGTCATGTTCATGCGGGCAAGCTCTTTGTATTGACCAAGGCCTCTTGTAAAAAGAGCAATTTTAATCTGAAAGAATTCTATTTAGTTCTTCTATTTTCAGATAAAATAATAAAATTCCTTTAATCTTTATATTCCCTGTCTTATTTTAAATCCTGGCACTGCTTTAGGACTTCAAGCACTGCAAGACAAAACGATATAAAATATATGTATAAAAATATATATTTTAATGAACAATATAATATTCCCTGTGGCCTGATTTCACTCTATGAAGTCTGTGTTCCAGATGTGAGTGGCCAGTGTAGCTCTCCCCTGCCCCTCTTACCTCACTTATATTGTGATTTTTTTAATTTTATCCATTCTATATCCTCACCAAGAAAGGAATCTTTAAGTTCATGATGCTTTGTAAGTGTCTCCTCTAATGATTTTTATCAGAAAGAAGGAATCCTTTCCCCTCTTCTTGAGAAAACATGTCTGAACGTTGGACCATGGGATAAATCGTATCGTCTACCCACAGAGATGGTGTCTGATCATCCAAAAGAAAAGTTGCTATGTTGACTGAGGGTTTTCCCCTCAGCACACAAAACCGAGGAGATACTACAGGATTTGTCTCACTGAAACTTGACTCATTACCTGATATCTACAATTTACATCTGCCTGATGGTTTGTGTGAGCATCAGACTGACAGGTGTGGAGGGGGGAGCACTGATGTCCAAAGGTAAGAACACCCTTACCTTCTGTGAAAAGTACAGTGCAAGAGGAAATGTCACATTACCTACTAAAGCTGATTTTTCCTTTGAGGTCATTACCTGATCTTACAGCAAACAAGTAATTTATAGTCCTCTTATCGTTCAGACATTTCTAAATTGAGCTTTCCACGTGTCACCAGCCATTCTTAATAATAAAGGAGAAACAATGTAATCTTCTCTATTGTGAACCTTTTACCAAAACAAAACGCACATCTAGGTAAATGAAGGGTCAGCAACAAAGTGTATCTTAGAAACTTTATATTTCAAATGCACAATCAAAATATTTATATTGTTATTTCTTCCAATCCATATTATTCTGACATGGAAAAATATTACTAGTAATGAAAGCAAGTAATTTTTAAGTATCTTCCAAACCTTCCAGAAAATTATGTCCATCATTGATTTGGATTTCCCACTTTCAGAAAATAAACGCCTTCCTTGCAAAATCAATTAATTTTCTTCTAGTCAAATAAACACACTCCTAGCTAAGAGTTAGAATAATCTGCCCTGATTGTATACATGAAAGTGAACTAGCATAGCTCATCACCTCATGGAATCAGTAGGAAAGATTCTTTAATAGGATAGGAAAAAATAAATAGCAAAAATTTGTCAGTTCTGAACTTATAACTTCTCTGAATTAAACTTACTTTAAAAAATCACAATACAGCAGAAAACTTTGTTTTCTTTACCTCGTCTGAAGTTTTCTCTTCAAGTTTTACTTATTTTACTTATTTTACCAACTGCAAAGTCTACAACATTAAAAGACCTTGTCTTCACACGTGTCTCTCCTTTCTGGTTGATGTGTATTTACACAATTCAGTGACTCAGAAGGGGATTTTTTTTTGTTTGTTTTCAGTTTTAGAGAATACTTGTAAGTTTCTCTTGCTGTTTCCAGAAACATTTATTGCTTCTACCATTTCTCATGACCACTTCAATCAGATGTTGAATAGCAAGTATGAGATTTGTATGAACAGCCAGTCTTCAAAAGGTCTTGATCTATCAGACATTGCTTGGAAGCTATTGTAGCATCATGAAATATTCATTTCATTTTAACCCAAGTGGACCTCAATATTATGTGAACCCAAGTGGACCTCAATAACATGACCTCTCATGTTTTCTGAGATGCTCTAATTTTAGTGGTCTGAAGATCAGTTTTTTTGAGACAAACTGCAAAATACTGCTTTGTGTCTGTGATGCAAAGCAAATTTTAAGAGTTGCATGTTGTCAGAGCACAAGTTATTTGGCTCAGACAAACTCTCATATCAGGTGTTCTTTGATCTGTTAGAATATTTTCCACCTCATGGAAAGGTACACTTGCATGCAGATAAAAAAGGCATGTCATCTCTATAGATCTTCTAACACAAATTCCTTCAAATATTTCTGAAGTTGAATGTTCTCATCTCTGTTCTCTTCTGGTGTTTCCAGAGTAATCTCTGAGTTCATCTCCATTTGCATTGAAATATGTTGCTGTTGGATAAAAATTACATTATACACAAAATTTAAAAATTCTGTGCATTTTTACAAGCACTCAATTTATTGGGCATATATCTGGGATTAGTACAGATTACTTACTCTGTTGCAACTCTAATACAAAGGGTATATTAATTACTCCTTCAAACTAAGGTTGCTCACAGGAAAATTGGTTTAGTTTTTCTGAGCCTTAATGTTATTTCTTGGCACTCTCCAGGCCGATATGACCATTGTACCATCAACAATCTCTTGAATCAAAAGATCACAGTGTCATCCCAGTAACTTGTTGCTATCATGTAGACAATGACTCCCCAGCTATGCTGAAGTCTTCTGTCAAAGGTTTTGTAATAGTTTGGGGACAGAAAATGCTTCTTTCTCTGTCAGCAGCATTAAATATAGGGGGTTTTGTGTGATTATATATTGAATACAAAGACCCCTACACAGCAGTTTACACAGTATTAACGTGAAGGGAGATACAGAATATAAAGCTAATGGTGATGATTCTTTATTCTGCAGCCCATATTCATAGCCACAATGGGAATTATCTATAACTATATATTAAATTATAGTTAATTTGTTCACAATTACTGGTAAAAAAATGGGTGAGAAGGACTTTAGCATAGAAGATGTGATAAATACACTCTTTAACCAGCTGAGTTCAGGGTCAATATGTCACCTTTAGCACCAAATTTGGTCAAATTATATTGACCAGAAGTGTCATAGAAATTATTCTGAATCTTGAGAATAAGAGATTTGGCCTCAAGCCAGTTCTGAAGCTCTTGAGCTTTTCTGGGAATATGAGTGTAGTGAAGAAGAGGAGCACAGTCTGCTCTGGGACCCAGACAAAGGCTTGTGGAATGAGCTCCAGGTGCAAGTTCAAAACATTTCAATCTCTTAATTTGTCATTTGATTATGTAGAATATGCACATCATTTCCCTGATAAATTTGTTTTGAGAAAAAATAAACAAAACAACACATTCCTCTTGCCTCACAACTCAAATTATGATTCCTGGACTGAGATGATCTGTGGTTTCTGTCAGAGTTTGCAATCATTTAGATATATTATTAAGAAAATCCCCAAAACACAATATTGGAATGCATACATCTTTCTCTTGGGAAAGAAAACAGCAGAAAACAGCATAAGGGAACACAATGGAAATTCCTAGTTAAATTGCTGAATGCTTTACTAGAAGATATTTTGATATTGCAGCGTAAGTACAATAATATGGCAGGATAGAGTAAAATTTACAGAAATCCTGCAGAAGCTCTGAACAAATATTTTGAGCACACAAACCAGAGAAAATCCTCATTACAGTTTTCTATTTCAATGGTATTTTCCACCAAAAAACCCCTAATTTGGGCACACCTGTGCCTTCTCCTCCTGTGTTGCAGAACTAGGTAAGAAGCAATCTTACTGTGCCTTCTACCACACAGTTCTCTGTGTAGCTTTTCTGAAGTTACACAGGTCTAAACTACTGCCTGACTAGCACATTTTTCCCTGCAACTCACACAAGGACAGCAATAAGAAACGCTGAATGTGCAAGCCAAGGAGCTCCATTAACAACAGTCACTAAATACTGTAAATATTTAGTCCTTGTTTTGCCAAGCTGACTAAAGACTTGTAATCCGGCGTGAGATAAGCAAGCACCTGAGCTCATAGTGCATCAGCTCTTCCAAAGTAAACACCTCTGCTTGTGGCTTTGTCCTGAAGCAGGGGCACAGCTGGGGTAGGTTTTATTGCATGCATTGTGCAGCCTCCTCCTTCCTGCTATTAGAATGTGCACACTTACTGCTGCATAGCCAGTGACTTGCAGATCGCCACAGAAAATTCCCCTTGATAACTGGCTGACATGCTTACATTTACAACATCCCATAACTGACTATTCCTCAGAGACTCAGGGTGATCACTCCTTAAAATGTTGGCCCACTGAGTGTGGATACGCTGAAACACCTTGGAGCACACTAGGCATTTTAGTGGGGATTTAGTGAGGATTTTTTACTCCATCCTGTGTACTGACACCATTGGGCTGTAACCTCCACAAGGTATTCTGTTCTCTTCTGGCTTCACTACAAATGTTGTACACACCTTTTGTTTTTTGCTTTTTGTTTTGTTTTGTTTTGTTTTAATTACATGCTGCTCTAAATGCAATGTTGTACCGTTGATTGCAAGTAACATCATGCGTGTCAATGTGGTGAGAGAAAAAAGACACACTACCTGGTGGTGAGTCTCATCTGCTAACCACGTTTTGATATTATTTGAAGGATGTGGAACAGGTGTGGTTAAAACTTCCAGGCATCTGTACCTGCAAGACAGTGATACAGGCACGCGACTATTCTTGTCTGCAGGAACAGATCACACATTAATGCTTTGTAATATATATTCCAGTTCTAAGACAGGCATCTACTATTTCTAAAGCCATTTAAACTTTTTTTTTTGTTTCTTTTCACTGTAGACACTTTTCTCAACATTTTCCCTAGCTCTTCTTTAGTCTAACTGGTTTCTAACCTGCAAGAGATTTAAAAGGACTGGTTGTATATAAAAAACCCTATGATTTCTACTCAAATAATATTTCCAAGCAAAGTGATAACTTGTGGCATGCTACTGTGTCTATAGCTTAAAGAATTATTCCTATGCACTCTTTCCATAATTAAAAATTGATAATTTCTTTAATACAAATCAGGAATCATGATTAATTTCTAATTAAATAATAAGTTTACTTTTAATAGAGGCTCTACTTACATACTGCACCTTCCAAATATTAAGGTATCTTGAGTTATCATTCTATCCTGGACAAGTTTATTTCTCAGTTCAAGAAAGCCTTTGCTTCCATATGCAGATGTCAATAGGAAAGCTATGTTGCCAGACAAAAAAGTAGTAGCATAGAGAGAGTTAGCAGCATTAACTCTTCGTGGGTGTGGGGCCACTACTGTCACTTTGCTATACTGATGGTATTAATAGTACAGCAAAGGAAATTCATTCCACTAGCCTGACTTCCCTCTTTTATTTCTAGTAAACTCTCCAGCTTAGAGTGAAAGACTGCTTTCCTAACACCCGTGGATTATGAAATGAAATTGGGCAGCATGACACGCAGTTCATCTCTGGTCTGATTAATATAGGTGGCCTTGAATGCAGAACCTGTGAAAGCATGGGGTAAAGTCACACTGAAGATAGAAAGTCAGCTGTCAGAATAAGATTAAAAAATTTCATTTATAGTGGCAGAAATGCATCAGAGAGTAAGGTGTGAGACTGCATCTGTGGGGGACTGCGGTAGGAGCTGTAAGAGAAGAATTACAAGTGCCGGTGTCTTACACTAGGTCATAACATCAAGCACTAGTTTGTTAGAACAATAGTTGGAAAAGCACAATTAACTGCTTCCTGAGAAAATCTGTGTTTGAATTTTATCCATTTTATGGTTTGCTCTCATCCTGACCCCTCTTCCACCAGAATTTTATGCAATCATCAGAAATGTACACTACCTTCTACATGCATGTATCAGCAGACCTCCAAGGAAAGCCAGAGCACAAAACAACACGAGACTTAGCAGTAGGATATCCATTGTCTTTTCTTAAAAAAAAAAAAAAAAAAAAAAAAAAAAAAAAAAAGGAAAAAGAAGAGGGAAAAGTAATGTTAATTATATGGGAGAGACAAGGATAGTTAATAAATTGATGAAATTGATGAATTACATATGGACTCATAAATATTGCTCTATTCCTGAACTGTCACAGATTTAAAGAAACATTTCCTGGACATTTTTTAGAGGAAAAGGGCTTCAGCACTTTTCCTTCCTCCCCTTCTGCCTTTTAGCCCTCAGCCTTGCTGTCTTTGTCCAACACTTCCTCTTGCTTCATTCTGTTCCCTCCTTTTTCCTGGAATTCTGGTCTCATATCCTGGGCATGGCCTGTCCTGCCACTGGATGTTTCCACACAGCCTTGATTCCTCTGGATATGAAACCCTCTGTCTGTCTGCTATTGGTACTTCTGCTGCTGCTCCAGCTGCTCCTGAGTCCCTACTGCTGCCACCTCCCATCTCCACACACCATGGGTCCCCCATTTCTGCCTCCTCACCACTTCACACCTGTAACTGATTGAAGGCAAAATGAAAATAAAAGCATTTTGTCAAGCAAAATATTCTTTTTGATTCAAGAAGCAGCATTTGTTTTCTATTATACTTACCTTTTTAGCCCTGCTTGGCATAGTGCTAAAGAAATGCCATCAATACATATTTATATTGTTCAACAAATACTACTACTCTGTACCTTCCATTTCTTCCTCCAAAATACCCAAAATAGCAATGTATTTGGTTGACTCAGAAATGGTTTTCTGGGAAATTTTATTTCTTGTTTAATATCTAGCTTCAGAACCACAACTAGTTTGGACTGGTTTTAACTAAGTATTTTGAAGAAAACCAGGCAAGGACAGCTCTTAAAATATTTAAAGTCTGAGGCCAGTTAAACAATGGTTTTAGGATCAATCTAGATTAAAAATCCAAGTATAAAAAAGTTCTGAGTTTGAACCCATTTATTTCCACAATTTTCATAGGAAACCAAGAAAAAACTCAGAAACTTGTGGGCAGAACTTATAAGAATATGCCTTATTTAAAGTACAAAACCACTCTTTATTCACTTTAAGATCAAAAGGAAGTTACTTTCTTCTTGCTGTCTGAGATGAGGGCTCAGAAAACTTACTCTGAACCACCTCTGGACTGTGTAGTAGATTTTTTTTTTAGTTTGTGGTAATTTCTCTGCATCATTCTGCTAACCCTCTATCATGCACACACCCAGGAGAAGAGGAAGTCCTGTTCTTATCATCAGCTGAACCACAAAGAGGTTTGCTTCTCCTGCTTTCTTACTTCTTGCATTTTGGAAAGCAGCAAGAAAAAGAAGCACACATATTCTTTTGGGTAGACCATTTCATGGTGGGGTTTGTTCAGGTGTTTTTTTCAGATGCAAATGCTTTAAGTTTGACAGAAATAACAGAACTTTGAAACCAAAACAAGCGGCTTGGTTTGCAAAAATGCAGAACACTTCTGAATTACTACAAACTTCAAAGTGATCTATGAATGCTCATCAGCTCTAAAAATTAGACCAATTATTTCAAGTTTCTACATATGAATAAGCTGATTAAACATTTCTTTTTTTAGCAGAAAGTTTCTCTAGCAAACAGCTCAGTTCAGGTTAAATTGTGAAGGTTTTTTTTTGAGGGCATATGCTAATTCCAAAGGAGAATTAATGTTTTCCTCATGAGAAAATTAGCAAATTCTTTTCATGTCAAAGGAACATTTCAGAACAAATATTTTAGTTATGTTTTGAATTATGTTATTTCATTTTGATGTTTCAGCTTTTTTTAAATGAAGGCTAAAATGCCTTTTTAAAATGCCCTATTAAAGAAATGCTGCACATTTCCTAGATGAAACAATAGAATGTCAAGGAGATGCAAACAGAAAGCAGGTCATGCCATGCTTCTTCAAGACTTTCAGTAGAAAGAGATCCTGTAACACCAGAAAAATCGACACATTCCAAAACAAAAATATAGAATGGATGTTTTTCTTTTCCAGTTACGTGCACAATATCCATTTATACATGTTTCCAATTAGAAGCAAATAGAATAATTTCCACAGAATACAGAGTAAAATTGACAGAAAAATTTGTCTCAGAATGAAAGGAGGTATGTAAAGAGATTTAGCTGAGCACCTGACCCTCCAATGGAATATGTCCACAGATTCATTTTATAAAAACCACTGATCCTTCCTGAGTAGGAAGGAGGGAAATTGCTGCACCACATGTGCAGTATGCTCCTGGGTAAATCATCCTGCTGCACTGAACACATGCAGATATTACAGCTTATGTGCCATGGGGGTCTTGTTCATCATAAACTTTTCTGAAGTGGAGGAAACATGCTGTGATTCTGAAACCTCAACAACAGCTGTAAAGGAAGCTGGGAAGGCAGTAGTGTTGGAAACAGCTAAAGGAGACTGGCAGATGCTGAGAGCAAGGTTTGGTAGGCTGGAACCAGAGTGGGTGACTGCTTAACGCCATTTCCTTCTTCTGCTGAAAGGCTGGTTGGGAATGAGTAAATCTACATACCTCCTCCCAGAGGATCTCTTCTGATTTCCCCTGTCTACACATCAGATGTGTCTGGCCTGTTGCCAGGCACACAGACCAGGCAGCCCCCTTCCAGGCCATGCAGTGGTCCTAGGCTCTCTCAGTCTTTAGTGAGAAGAAAGGGAAATCTCTAAAGAGGAATTCAAGACTCTTATGGCCTGAAAATTTCTCTCCTTCAGCACAATGAAAATGAAGGGCAATTTCTTCAGATATTTCACAAGTGGAATGCTTTTGAAATTAAATGAATGAATTTAGGCCAAGAAAGGTTCCAGCAGACCAGTGGGATTCAATGAGGCATCTGACAGAGCAGGCATCCAGTATCCAGTAAACTCTATAAGTGAATTTACATTCAATCCATTCAAACATAATAATGTCTCGCCTGGTATTTCCTGTCCTCAGAAAAATATGTATTTGAAGCTCAAAGATCAAGAGGACATATTCCAAAATACAGTCTGTTGTATTAAATAATGAAACTCACCTTGTTTTGTTTTACCATCCATAGTATTATAGTTTGTTTTTTGGGGTTTTTTTTGTGTGTCGACACTCACTCACGACACACACTGTACTACTTCCCCTCTCCCTAATCTGATGGCAGGAAGCTTCTGCATGTGGAGGCTTTTTTCTCATCATGGAAAGCACACCAATGTTAGGGGTTTTCTTCATAGAGGTTGAAGGAAAAGTATTGCAAGGTTCTTGTTTACTTTGTGCTTGTGTGAGCTGTTGGGGCCAGAGCACATATATTTAAATGAGAGCTAAACCATTTCCCATCTCTGTCAGATATGAAATTATTCCATGGGTGTAATAAGGGACATTCTGGACTTAGTCCTTAAAGGCTGTATGGTTTGATGAATGGTAGGACTTTTGTGGATTTCTTGGCTTACTAACTCCAGTTGAAAGTATTTTTAGAGATGTGTGGGCTATCCTTTGCAGGGCAAGGCAACAGGGTGGAGGGATGATGGGGTTAGGACCTAGTCAGCTGCTGACCATTATTATTTCCTAAAGGCTGTCGAGAGTTGGGTGTAACTTAACTCAGGACAGCAGTTCTGTAAAGACCACAGAAGTAGAATTCAGACTAAGGACTCTCCTTACAGCAGAGCCGCGTGAGCCTGGTGTGTGCCATGGACCCCTAGGTACAGTTATGCCCCAATACCAGCCTGGAGAAGAAGAGAGGCAATAATGAAGTAAATACAGGGAATGGTAATAACATAAACCATGAAAACAGTTATGAGTAGTAAGTACATAACTTACCATCGTGAATAATTACTGGTTCACTCCATTCACTCCAGATCTTGTTTGCTATGCAAATCTCTTTCTTTACCCTCACTTGTGCTGCACATCTTTTTGCTGGTTTATGAAATGGATACTTATAGTTCTCTGCAGTGACATTTGCAATCTATCAAGAGAGGTTTAGGGGATTACTTTAAAATATTTTGCATTGCAGTTCAAACAGACATAAACTAGGGATGTCAAATACCACTATTTACATCTCTAACTAGTAGGAAGAGATTTTTCAGAACAAGTTCTTTTGTCCAGATACAATTTGACTCTCATCTGATGTGTGTTAAAACTCAGAACTGAACATGAAGAGAGACTGGAACTGATAAGATGCAAGGCGGTATCATTTATGGCAGGACATTAGGAATTTGAAAACACTGATTCCCCTTTCATTTTTTATCACACTACATATAGGATGAACACAGTAACTATGGAACTGCAAGTTTCAAGATTTTTGTGTGGGTAGTGTGCTACACTTGCTTCTTTGTTAGAATGAAATTCTTCTTTCAGCTGAAGAATCTCCACTGTTTTTGTGGCTATCCTGAAACATCTTTAATTGTCCTTATGAAAAAAAAGCACATCACTTCAAAAGATCAAGTCCAAACATGAAATGGTGGAATTTAAAGCAGAGGGATCTTTAAATAATCCCTAATCACTTTTAAATATTGAAGCAAACTTCTATAAATAAACAGTGTTAAAAAAAATTTTAGAGGTAACAAGAAAGAGAGAAAGTTCTTGCTTGTAGAAGTTAAAAGTGATGCTAGAAGGCTGCAAAGAAGTAGAAAGTATGAATCTCATACATGGAGAAGCATGGAATCTTTGCTTCTTTGGTGTTAGGAAAGTATGATCTGTTCTCTTCATACTGACTGATGTGGTGTGGATTTGACTCTGTGCACCATGTCACTTCTTTCTCTTCCCTTTAAGGCTTTTCCAGTTCTGGTGTCTATTAATATTTTGTGGTACCCAAAGCACAATATGAAACTTCAGGGGAAACAGCATCTAGATGGGCAACTTAGTCACAACCTGCATCTTACATGTGACATGCTGGTCATATACACTTGAATAACATTTGACCTTTGCCTAACACAGAATGATTGACTCAGTCTGTGGTTCCATGCAGTCCACAACCTTCTTTCTTCTGTGATGACTCCTATATTTTAATTCCTTATTTTGTGTTGACATATTTGACCTGTATTTCCTAATCATAGGATTTTCCTTATTACTGAGTTTTGCCTTGTTGATTTCAGACTTAACCAGAATTTCAAATTCTAATCTTGTTTTCCATGGTACTTGACAACCATTCCTAGCTTTCTGATGATACTTCTTTTTCTGTAAAAAAAAGTCAATACGATCTATATGATAATAATATACAATTCAAATTTAATATAGGAGACAAAAACTTCAAATTCACTTCAATGCAAGCCTGACTCTGAAAGATTTTATAAAATGTACTGATTTTTCATTTTTATCAGGAAGACAAATTGGATTATTCATTAAAGACAATGGGATTTCTTTAAAGTTTTTTTGAGATTAAATTCTGTTTAATTCGAAGGATGCCTTGTTTTTGTGGAAGTTATGTCGTATAGACTAAGTGTACTACCAGGGAAACTGATTACCTTGTGATCTGTTATTTTCACTTGGTACAAAAAACACTTTTTCCTTGCTGAACCAATAGTAGGTGGAGGTTTCCAATGAATTTTAATACTTGTGTTTTCAGTCAAAACTGAGACGTTGATTGGTGGGTTCAGCTTCTCTGAAAAATAAAGAGCACAGAGACCTTCTGTACCTCATGCTCTTTCTCCTATTTAAACAGATGTAAAACAAATGAAAGTACATCAGTTCTTAAAATACACAGCTGAGTGTTTCAGAGTTTGCCCCACCCAAAGAAGACATTCTAGTGAGTGACACATTTTCTTTGAAGTTGCTGCTCAGTAAGTGCCTCAAAACAAAGGGATGTAGTTGGGGTTTTTCACATATCTTTCTAGGAAAGGCAGAAAGAGTGGGAAGGAGAAGAAGACGCTCTCCAGAGCCAGTGTTGGTGTTGAGGAGACCTTGAGTCTGCTATTGGCTCCATGTCATGTAGGATACGTGGGTTTTGTCTACCCACAGTACTGGTATTATTACTTTAAAAAAATGGAATTTAATCTCTCACAAAGGGGTTACAGAAGGGGCACTTAGAAATTCTTCATAGAATCTTAGAAGGGTTTGGGAATGGACCTTAAGGACCATCTAGCTCCAAATCCCCTGCCCAGGGCAGGGCCGCCTCTCACTAGAGCAGGTTGCTCAAACCTCCATTGAACCTGTCCTTGAACACTTCCAGGGATGGGGCGTCCACAATTTCTCAGAACAACCTGTTGCCCAGAGAATTTCTCTGATTCAATACATGAAGATTTCTGCAGACACTTAAGAAATATCTCTCTCTCTCCTGTAGAGGAGCAAGCAAGCACTTGCTCTGGAGGAAATACAGTATTGGAAATAAGGGACGTTTGGGTTCCCAGGATTTCAGCCTTGGATTAATATAATAAAATCTATAGTTATTTTTTGCAATGGCAAGTTTTAGAGCACTGCTCCTGAGTGTGTGCTCAGTACTCAGGCCCCCTCAGTCTTTCTCAGCTGCTGCTGCATTTCTGTGAAAGGAGGAACTCCAGCTGGAGTTCTCTGAAAAATCCCTCCCAGCATAGGCAGAATTGCATGGCAAGTTTCTGCAGACAGGGTCAGTGAGGTCTGGGGGTGACAGGGCTGCAATATGAGAAAAGCCAGAGAGAGGCAGAGAGGGTGAGTGTCAGCACGACGGGTCCATGCAGCTGCTGTGCTTGCTCTAGCAGCCTTTGAGGGTGGGGACACACCACAGACCCTGAGGAGACATGAGCCATGAGAAGAGGAAGAAGCAGGGGTTTTGTTTAGTCTCTAAAAGACTGCTGCCAGACCATTCTCCCTTCTGTAAGGATGTCAAGTATAGGCAGCAATTTCATTTCATCCTTCTCTCATATGTCAGATTATAGCTGGCTCTGATTTCAGTGTAAAGATTTAGGTAAGCAAACAACTCTAATGTCTTAGAAAATGTTAGATGAGATCTAACTCAGAATAAATATTTAGAGTTTAAAATTATATTTTTGCAATCCCTTGAGCTATGACTAATTCCCAGGTTACAGGTCTGGAAGACGATCAACATGTTAAAGACTTAAAAGGCATTTAAATTTGCAATCTTTGCTAAATTTCAGGTGAATTTCTTACCCATGAGATTAATTCAAACTTACCAGAGAAGTTAGGAAAAGTAATTTTATATGATCATTCAAAACTCTCAATAATTAAAAATAACTGCCAAGTTATTTTTAACTTAAAAAATAAATAAAAATGCTACTAATGTTTGAGAATATTCATATTCTTAAATTCAGGTTATAAACGAGACTTGTAACTATTTATGTTCTTTTTCTTAATCACACTTGCTCAGCACTATAAAAAAAAGGATAGAAAAGAAAAAAAATGGAGAAACAAGGGTGCAATGCTTATAAATATTGTTTCCTCACATTAGCCTATATTTTTTAATTAAAATTATAGATAAACAATGTTATTAAATCAGGAAAAAAAATTAAAAATATTTCAGCCCTAATCCATTTTGTTTCATCTTTGTGCAAATTCACACTAAGATGAATGGCAAAATAGTTAGAATTAATATCATGATTTTGTCATGCCTATTTCCTTTTTTGCTTTTCATGAAGTAACCAATAAACAAACTTTTAATAATATAGAATAATAGACAATATTTACCTATTGTCTGAGGTGTGAAAGATTTGTAATAAGATGGTCCTCTTGAACTATTTGTCAGATTCCTCACAGTTATATTTAAATTTATTTTCCTTGATGGTTGGAAATGCATTTGTGTCATATAGCATCCAATATTTTTCTTCCTTGCATTTTTTATATATTGCTGGCATGCAAAAACCTTTCCTACATGTCTGTGAGAAGGAAATATATATATATATATATATATATTTTTTTTTTTTTTTAATCAAAGACTTAGTTCAAAATCATGGTTTCATATTTATTTTGCTAAACATCCTTACTTGTATGAGAAAAAGATCTGGATATCTTCAGGAGCTTCTGCTTTGATGTGCCAGGTGCAATTGAAAAATGAAATGTTATATATGATGCACGAAAGATTCTGAATGTAAACTGCAACAAAGAAATGGTAAAAAGAAAGTCATGTTTACTGTAAATTGATTTCCGAGTAACAACCTGATGGTTGCCTTTACAAATCCATTATATTGGCTTATTTCTAGAAGCATGAAAAATTACTATGTGAGAAAAAATAGGTATTTTTGCTTTTTAGACAGTGAAGACTGGGAAGCATATCAGCTACTAACGTCAAAACCTTACTAACCCACTTAAAAATAAATTAAAATCTCTGATCATTTAAGAATTGCTGAAATAATGGGATACAGAAGGCAATCTTTATGATACATTAGTTGCTAGGGAAAATGAAAGGAGTGTTTGGGTCATACTGACATCTTGCTCAGCAGAGCTGGAGTTTTCTGAATCTGAAGACATTTAATAAAGGAAATAATTCTGTAATACCTCAAGGTATTATGAATCATATTCTTAACATATCAGTACAAAAAAAAAAAAAGTAGCAGAAGATAATAATGAGATTTCAGAAATTCTCCAAGTAAGACAGGAAATTATCATAAGTGCTTGAATGTCCTAACAACAAGCAGGAAATAGCTGACCTGGAGGTGCCTTGTAAGTAAATTCTGTCCAGTCACTCTCCTCAATTGTGTCTTCTGTTTCTTTTGCAAAAAGTTGTGTCTTAACTTTAGCATTAAAACCAGAGTGTAATTGAAGACGTATTATCTTTTCCTTCTCCTGCAGTCTTTCCTAAGAGGAGGAAGAAGAAATTCCAGGAAGGCAGACAGTCCCAAGTATTGAAAGAGAAATTATGCAAACTCATCTACTGAATAATACAATATATTATTTTACTTTACTCTTTACTCTGAAGAACTTACTTTCCTTTCCTTAGCGGTATTGAAGAACTTATAACTCAAAATATACTTCACAGTGTATTTCTTGATTTCTTCATTTGTCAGGTTATTGTTCCAGGACAAAATAACTCTTGAATCATCCTTGGTGGCCCACAGAACATTACGTAGCCTAAGTGCATCTGCAATTACAATGATATTACATAGAGAGAGGATCCTCCACTGTGTACACTAAGGAATTGTCTCTCAGCAAGGCTTGCATGCCCGGTAGCTCTACCATGACCTCTGTTCGTGCATGAAGGAGGAATTTCTGAGCTTTGCTGAATATGACTTTCAGTGATGGGAATCATGCTGCTCTTTGCAGCTCTCAAAATTCATTGATTCACTTTGGCCTGTCTTGGACACCTGTCCTACTGCAGGTCTCTGTTTCTCTGTCTGGGCTGTAGAAAGTGCCTTGACAAGTTCAGATTAGACATCTGGGAAGGTTAGCATAGGGTGAACTGTTAATAGTCTACTTACCCTTTATGTCTTCTTTTCCACTTGCCAGGATTGTGGAAAACAGTGTCTTATGTTGGAAAAAGCTTAATATCAGCAGGACAGGAATGACTGCAACGCGTGCCATAGCAAATGTTTTGGGCCGCAGGTCTGAGGAAACTGAGACTCTTTACTTCCAAGTTTGGTTGAAAATGTACTTAGAACATGATGTTTTCATTTTGCATCTGTGAAATATTAGGAAACTGTCACCTAGATGCTTAAAAGGTGTCTAAAGTACAAAAGGTAAATATGAAATGACATCTATTTGACAGGTCTTGTTGACTGGTGCCTACTGTTGCCAGAATGTTTGTATTCAAGCCCACTCTTTGACTGGGTGCCAGGGCCAGAGAGAACATGTGCCACAGAGCACTGGCTCTGAGTGACAGCACAGCTTTGATTGCAAGCCAACAGCACAGATATGACACCACTGACACTGCAAGTGCTTAGGCAGTTCCCACCTGACATAACCATGACAAAACTTAAGCCCAGTTGCTCTACTTGTATGTGTTATCTGGCCTCTTGTGACCGTAGAGAACTGTCATTTCTAGATTGTGACCTGGTTTAGGAGGATATGAACCTTAAGAGATGAATCCTGCCATTTGAAAAAGTATCAGCAAGAGAATTTCAGGTGTTTGCTAAATTTGGAATACAGTAAGCAAACAGATTCAGACTGATCAAAGTTGGTTTTAGCAAGACAACATTGTTATTTCTCTGAAGAGTCTCATTCAGAGGTTGCTTTAATGTAAAACAATATTTGATATCTTCTGTGTTTATATGCCTCCATGTTCAGAGACTTTCACTAACTGATTTATCTTGGCTGTGATTGTTTTCACTTTTAAACTCTCAGACACAGTGTATCCAGGGATCAGCACCTGGAGCCATATCAAAAGGGTCACAATACATTGGCTAATAAGTGGCACTGGTCATGTAGAGGAAAATATGTGCATGTTCAGCACATCAGAAAAATCTACAATGAGGTTTCCTGGAGAAAAGAAATACACATACACCTAAAATTACATACATATACAGATTAATTTATAATGCTGTTTTATCACAATGCAGTGAAAAAGAGGCCACTTAACGAATGCTGCCTTTGTTTATGAAATGCTGTGAAAAAATCATAGCAGAAAGCTGTAAGGCAGAGGTTTCCCCATGCTGTTCATTCTGGAGTGATCTCAGCTATAGCACCTGCAGCAGCTAGAGTGTGCAAATCACACTACGCACATGGCCAGCCAAAAAAAGAGTAAATTCTCCTGCTTGGTGTGCCCTGGTAAGAAGACAGTTCTAATTGTCTGGAGAGGGAAGGGGTGAGCTGTGCCATTATTGCTGTGCTCCTAGAACAGTATGGTGTGTGGCAAGAGGAAAACGTCAGGAAAAATATAAAATAAAAACAAAAAAAATTTTGATAGTGGCTCATCCCTCTCCATGGAATGCAGCAATCAAAAACAGTCCTAGGAACACATAAGTACTTTATTTAAATAAGCAGAAATGGAAAAATGAGGATGGAAAACACTAAGCAAGTTAAGATACCTGTGGCTAATATTAACATGAATTTTTTGAAAAAACAAGTCAAAAGGGGATGTGGAACAGGAAAAGGAACAAAATAAATCTTACAGTAGTAACGTCTTTTGGTGTTAGAAACAAAAATTGACATAATTTGTGCAGCAGTATTAATGCATTTATAGTTGGACACACAGGGGCAGACAAGGAAGCCTTTTAAAGCAAGTCTGAACAAGCTTAGAAAAAAGCCAACCAAACTGAGTCAAAGAAAGGCATTTCAGGTGAGAGCAGTGCTGTTTCCCCAAGGTGAGTTGCTCCTAGGAGTACCTTTTGTGCAGGACTGAGGGGCACTTCTCCACTCAGTGTGCAGTGAGCACGTGCGCCTTCTCCCACCGACGCCGTGATGCTGGACAGTGTGAGCAGGCTGCAAATAGGAGCAGGCAAATGCATGGAAAGCAGGTATGTGGAAAACTACCAAAAAAACTATTAGAGGTGCATGCACAAGGTCTCATCCCTAATTCAGCAGCTGTAGGTGCTGGGGGAATACTTAGGGAATGGGCTGCAGGAGGTGGCCAGAGTTGGGGATTATTTCTGAGTAACATCTCCTGTTCTCACTGCTGCAGGCAGAACAGCAGAAGGACAGCTGGGCTGACCCCACAGGGTATTCCTTATGTTTATATACAATTAATTAGTCCACAAAAAACAGTAAAGTGAAAGCACTGCAGCATAATTACACCCAAAGTGACCAGGAGGGAACAAAACCTGTCTATACATAAAAAGCTTTTGATTCACAACTTGTCAAAGAACACATATTTTCATTTATGCCAGCATAGATGAGTTGAAAGACAGAACATTTCTTCTCAGATGTATGCAGACAGGACTTTGTGTTCCTCATCCTGTGCTACAAAGAGGTTTGAGTTAGTATTTGGTGCTGAAATTCAGTCCATGATGTGCAAAATAAAATTCATTGTCTGACAATTTTTTTCTAATAAGATTCTCTGGCTCTTTTGTCTCTGAAAAAATGCACACTGGCCAAATATACTTGCAGACAGTCCAGTTAATCTAGTGAGAAAGAAATTATCTCAACAATCTAAATCATATAAAAAATAACAATAATGCAAAACAACAAACAAACAAAAAACCCCAAATTCTATCCAAGCTGTGTCCTGTCAAAAATGGGGCTTTAAAAAATACTGCACATATTTTCCACTTTTTTTTAATTTTTTTTTTTAATTTGTCCCATCTCTTTCATTCCCGAGCTTCAACTACAGCTGATACCTGTTGGTTGGTGCCCAGCAATGTCTGGTTTACAGTAGTTCATTGCTGGAGTGAAAGAAAGGGAATAGAACTGACAGGAGCTGCCAGCTCATCCACCACTGCAGCTGCAGATGTTGTTTGTACAAAACCCACCTGGTTAATTTGGGAAGTAGACAGAGAAAGAAAAATGAAAATAACTAAACTAGCTTCATAAAACTTAAAAGCTGTTAATTCAGTGACAGACTATTAAACTATTTATTTTTAAATCTGCATTATACGTGTTTGAATAAAGCTATTTTTGAAAAGTTTCTGGGGCTGATTATTATATCATCCTAAATGCAAAAGTTTTTCTTTTTAAGAAATAGCTTTTATATACATTTTTTAAAATAAATAGTAAAATTGTCAAAAAAGACAATTTGAGGTGGTCTTGAAAATTACATTATGTCAAATTTGGAAAGTAAATGCAACCATTAAACAATGAAATCTTTTATTCATTGTTCTAATGCACAGTCTTAAGTGAAGTGAATCACTGGGACTGTTTGTCTGATTAAGACTACCTAAAACTTAGACTTCATTTAAGGATGTCAGGGCATACTTTTCAACACTTCCCAACCCAAACCCATATTTAGTAGCAGAAAATGTAGAAATTTGTCAATAAATTATTAAATAAGCAATATAGGTCAAATGAAGTTTAAGTGTCTTGGTAGCTGAAGAGTCAAAAGAGGAGTACCATTTACATTCTTTTTTTCAAAACTTACCTTGGTCTTAATGCTTGTTAAACCGTGGGCACCTCTGCATCGTTTGGCCTGAGAAGGGGGACAGATCAGCACTGGAGAGTGTCTTGATGTAGGACTACAATGAGAAATCGATTCAAGAGACTTCCCTTTTTTCAAGGCACTCCCTCAGAAAAGCCCATTGCAAGGGCCACTTCCCACTGAGGGGCTGAAACACTCAATAAAACAAACACTGCCTGGAACCTCACCCAAGGTCTTTAGACCTCTAAGGAGACATATCTCTGCATCACTAACTCAGAAGTCAGAGCTGTTACTATTTTCCCCTTTTTATGTATATGGAAGAGAAAGATTTCAAAACTTTTAATGTACTTTAATAAGCTTTTCTATTTTAAGAAGAAGTCAGATTAAAGAAGAAATTAAGTCACACAAGTTCAAGTGTGACCTATGAAATTAAAATCCCAGAAAGATCCTACCCTGCTTGCCATTGTTCTGCTGGTTTTTAGTGGCTAATATGCATCTTTCAGTGTGCACCAAATTAGACCAAAAAAAAAAAAAAGTCACAGAACTAATAAGGAAAAAGAACAAATAAATCTTGCATCTTGAACAGGTTAAACTGTCTGTTTAACTCTTCTTATCTGAAGGCTTGCCCGGCCTAGTCTCTGAAATTGTCCTTTTAACTGGCTTGCTTTATAAAGTAAGTTAATTTCCAGTTATCACAAATGCAATTGCGAGACACAATGACAACTTACAAATGTCATTCTGGGCGGAGTTGACTGACGATAATAAGTGGGCTTGAAATCAACAACTTTGTCCAGACACACTGATATTTTGCATTCCAGCTTTCCATGTTAAGTTGGATTTGGACGGGCAATAATGGATAAAAATTGTAGTGGTTTTTTGGGGTTTTTTTGTTTGGTTGGTTTTTTTGGGTTTTTTTTTTGTTTTTTTTTGTTTTTGTTGGAACAAATATGACTTGGAACAGATATGACTCATTGTTCACATTAAAAAGTTTATTCACTAAGGGTCTGACCCCAGGTTTTGGTGCAAAAATGAACTTAAGATGTCAAGACTGCATTATTTATTGCCTTTTCAAAAAACGCCAAATTTAGACAAAATATTTCACAATCCCTACTATAAACGGCTGAGAGATCAAGTAATATAGTTTTTATTATTTGCTAGCTGGTGTGAACTTTTCCAGAGCATAGAAACTAGCCCTTCTTTGCTTTTCCCCATCTATGGGTACTGGACACACAGCAGAGAAATGCTGAAAAAGGAAGAATTCCATAAAACACCTTTGGGGCTTATTCAGTGAAGTGCTAAAAACCTAAAGATCTTCACTCTCATCTCAGGCAGAGGCTGTTACAGTTATGTATGGAAACAGTTTTATCCTTTCAGTATGTGTGTTAAAAATACATGTTTCAAAGAAAACACAAACAAATAAACAAATAAACAAAAAATCTAACTATAGAAATGTTAAAGAGAAGATCAATTAAATGTTTTGCTTGTTAATAGTAAAATCTTAAAAACAGCTGCTTTGTCTTTTGGGTGCCTCTTTCTTTAAATAAAATATTTTTGACAATGATTACTCTGACTGACTTATATCTAGATTTTCCTGATACATGGGTCCAATAAGTTACTCTTGATCTTAGATTAGAAGAGGATATGTTTAGGTCCATGTGTTTTTTCATTTTTTTGTTAAAGCTAGATAGTACAATTCAAGGTAAGGCTAAACCAACTTTACCTCAAGTGCTTGAAGCCAATTGCTTGCTTGTTCTGGTGTTAATCAGACATGATCTTATGGTGGGGATGTACAAAACCCACATTTTTCTAATGATGAACTAAGATAAAGGAAGGTAAATGCTTCTGGAGAACTCTGACTATATTTAGAAGTATGTCTTATTTAAGTGAGAAGAGTGTGACTTGGAATTTCAAATCCAATGGTAATAGTGGCAAACCTGACCAAAAGTCCAGTACTCAAATTTTTAAATGTAGAAAACTTCATTTCCCTTTGTGTCTTCTGTTTATTAGAAAAACATGAAAATTTTGTCTGGTTAAGGCGTGGTTTGTACTTTGAATTAATGGTAGCACCTCCACAATTGCAGTATGTTTCTTCCTCTTCTCTTACACCATAACTCACTGCCATTACTGACTTCAGAGAAAATAAGTTAATTACCTTACACACATTTTCTGCAGCTCTCTTAAAATTTTAAATAATTAAAGATTTTTATTTTATTTTTGAAATCTTCATATGTTGTTGATTTATTCAGGAAAGTAGGAATGGTAGTAATTTAACACTTTTTTTCCATCCGTGATAGACTCTTACACTGAGTTGTGTTAGGGTTTCAGTCTATCAAAGCGATGCATTGGAACCACGTGTGGATTTGGGCTGATCAAAACAGCAAGTCTTGTAATGAAAAATATCCCTAAAGCCAGTGCACTCTGCAGTTACTTCAGCAGGGTTTAGGTGCCTGTGGAAAGGAATGACTGCAGTGTTTAGTACTTGATAGCCCTTTCTGTCTCAGTCCTCTGAGCCCTGTGTGGGGCCAGTGAAGTCCCATGCTTGTGACTAAAGGACAAGGTCTTTCCCTTCTCACAGTCCCTGCAGTCTAGTTTGTTCTGTCAACACAGCTAGTGCTTGCAATCACATGCTGGGGATATTTGGGGTGCTCTTGAGTTCCACCTCTGTTTACACCAAGGGAGGAAGAGGGGGAAAACTCATCTTTTGCTTTGTACTGAAGTGAAAATGAAGTTTCAGAAATTTGGGCTGTTAGTAACACATTTCACTGCAAAGGAGTAGTGAGGAAGGCTTGAAGGATAGCAATAAGATAGAGGGAGTTTCCTGAAAGTGATACGTGCTTATTAACAGAAGGGAATTTTGAAATCACAGTTTTCTACTGCAGTGACTAGATTTCCACCATCTGGGTCTGTTAGTTCTGTTTTAAATCTGATCTCATGTTTGTGTTTCATATAATAAGGATGGCAGTTTTCATGCAGCCTTCTGCTCTGCATCTGCAGTCTCAAAATGTAACATTTCTTTTGTCATGGATTATTTTGTAATGCTTGTCAAACTATGTGTATGTACATACACCAGTGCCAGGCTTGAGAAGAGATCTCCTGGAGGAGACATCTCTTTATTTTCTGAAAATTATCAGCTGCAAGAAATAGCCAGCTGTTGACAGTGAAAGCCAGCCCTAGAGACAATGCCTCTGTTCCAGTTTCTTCCAAATCCTACAGGCAGAGATTTATGAGAGAGCAATGTTCAGGTTTCGGGTACAATGTAGGGTGTGGTGGTCTTCCATCAGGGTGAGAAAGAGTCCTATAAAGGAGTGCAATATATAGCCATGTTTGGCCTTGGCTAATCAAGAGGAATCAGTGAAAGATTTCAACTATAAGAACAGTGCTGTTAGTGTTGTGAGTACAAAACCATTAGACTAGATCAGACCCATTTAACACCTGCCTTAGGATATCCATTGCATTTAATGGGAGAGATGGAGGAGGGCATGAATGCATTAAAAAAGATCCCTAATCTTTCCTGGATGAGGAACTGAAGCACAGAGAGATTATACAAGTTTTCGAAATCACACCAGCTATATCTGAAATAGCTGATTGCTACTATTCTTTCATTTCCATTTTAAATTTAATGAACTACATAAAAAAACCTCCTAACACTGGTCAGAAGCTGATGCCTCATTACGCACACAAATTTCCTCCGGGATGATGGTCAGACTACTGATGCATCACAATAGTTGTGACTACAAGCAGCCTAAGAGAATAAGGCTTGAAAGAATGATTTATCCTTTATCATTAAAAAAATAGCCATGAATCCTCAATATTTCTAGAAATATATCCTTCTGTATTATTTCAAGGGAACTGGTGAAACATAGCCTAATACAGAGAAAATTCCTACGCCCTTCAGAATATATATATCATCACCTGATTATTAATTTGTGCAACTATTCCTGATCAGATATTCAGGTGCTGACAGCAGAATAGTTAATGTCTGCTCCCCCTGTTAGGATAAAGCCTTTAAAATAAGAAAAATTTTCTCCATTCTACTCCTTTCATGAATTATTGTTAAATTATCTCCATGTTGCTTCTATACAATTAATATAAGGATGTCCTTCAGAATTATTAATTCTATTTTTGTCCCTTGTTGGTATGCAGAAAACATTTCAGGTACTCAAAAACACTCCCTACAACATTTTTAAGCTTTGGGTCCTAATTTTCCTAATAATGCCACCATCAAGAAGTAGGACTGGCACTGGCAAAACATCTATTGATTTACAAGTAGTTACCAAAAATCTGCTTCCTGTCTAGATTTCTGATATTAAATAAAACATGTTGTAGTGCTCATATAAGGTGCTTGTGGCCTAACCAAAGATGACAACATATATGAGCAGATGGCATTCTCAATGAAGACAAATATGTCAATGTTCATTATAGAACCAAACATGGAGACAAAAAAAAGTCTATCCACCTGCTATAGCCATCATTCTAGGAAAAATTTTCTTTCCCTTGTAACACTCCTCCCAACCAAACTCTATCTGCCCAAGAGCACAACAGTGAACACTTTGTTCAACATTTAACACTCAGTTGATAGAAAAACAGACTCTCAGCCAAACAGTCTGGTGATATAAAATTTATCAGAGTCAGGCAGAGGGAAAATGTCCATCCATCTGCCAAGTGAAAGTAAATAAACTACTTGTTTGTGGAACAACTTTTGCTCAGTTTCAAAATATGTCAGCTTCTTCACAACTGAACCATCTAAGAAAATAATTTCTCTTGGTCACTTCACCCAGAGATATTCAGAAATTCATTCTGTATTAGAGAAAGACACATTTCTAGGCACTCTGCTCATCAATATTAATTATTGGTCAACACTGATAGTTGTGCTTGTTCAAACTCCTTATTGCTAACCTGGAGCTCATTAATACAAATTCTTCCATTGAGGTCTGTAGTTATGATATTTTATGAAAAATCTTTTGTTAATATTTTTCCCTCTTGGGAAGCTGAAGAGCTTCAGGAAAGAAATGTAAACAATAACTATCTGCTGCTGTGGAATGCAACAGGTGCATCTGTGATTGGTGGATGTTAGTTGTTTCTAATTAAGGGCCAATC